TGTGTTTCAATGTTCTAATGACCGGGTTCGTTTGTTTTGGAGAGGAGACGACCTCGGAGGCAATTCGGCTTCCGGTAGAACCCTGTCAGAAGTGTCTGAAGTGGAGCGGACCCAGAACAACTCTCATCAGCTGTGAGAGTAATAATGTTATGCTTTATAAAATGTCACATAATTAACAAGATATCTATATAATGTCAGTGCAGTGACAGTTACCGGACAACTCCAGCGCTGGCAGAAAGTCAGGCTGCCGAATGAACGAAAGACTCCGAGGACCCATGTGAGTGGTGAACGAATAGTTCATGTCTGCTCCATAGTAGCCGAGTCATGTGACAAATGAACGACTCAAATCCAGAGACCCACAGTTGAGAGTCGTGAACTAATCAATATTGTTTCCTGTGCTGACAGAGCCCATGCAGCTGCCATGTGACGAGTGAACCTAAGAGTCCAAGACTATTCACGATGCTTGCGTGAAAATGAATAAATTACTCCCTCAGACTACCAATTTCTCCTGAGTAATATAAAAGATTAGGTCAAATGAACGAAACATTCTTTGAACAACGCAACACTAGTCAGATCATGGTTAAAGCCCCAGGGGACTTGCGGCCCTCACATTGTAAGCACTGAGGGGGGAGGTCCCCTTACAGTCGGAGGCCCAGGGCCAATCCAGCCTTGCTTATAGGCTAACATACAGTAGCATTAGAGGGGTAAATGGTAGTTAAATAAAGGGGAGGGTGGGGTTGGTGGCAGGTGGACTTCTTAAAGTTAAATTTAGCTAACTAACAGAAGAGTTTAACAGGGAAACATTGGTGTCTGTCTGTTGTTTGACTGAGGCACTGGGTGGGGATCTCTGGTACTGCCCTAGAATGGTTTTCATCCTACCTGTCAAATAGGAAGTTTTGCGTATCTGTAAACAACTATGTCTCCTCGTTCTGTCCAGTTAAATATGGTGTGCCTCAGGGGTCGGTCTTAGGACCCATTTTGTTTTCCTTGTATCTGCTTCCCCTTGGACATATTATCCATAAACATGGCATTTCTTTTCATATTTATGCTGATGACACACAAATATACTTGCCCGTCAGATCCACAGACCCTGGAATGCTGAGTTCACTTAACAACTGCCTTTGTGAAGTTAAAAAATGGATGTCAAATAATTTCCTCCAGCTGAACTCAGACAAAACAGAAATCCTGGTCATCGGGTCCCAATACTGCCATCTGCTGGTTACCTAGTAAATCACATTAAGCCTGTGGCAAAGAACCTTGGTGTTTGGTTTGATAGTAATTTAAATTTCGAGCAGCACACCACAAAGCTTGTTCAATCATATTTTTATCAACTTTATCTCTATCAAAAATTCAATCTATGTTAACTTTTAAGGACACCGAGACCATTTTACATGCCTTCATCTCATCACGCCTGGATTATTGCAGCCTTTTCACCTGTTTAACCCAAAAATCTATTGATCGACTCCAGACTGTCCAGAACTCAGCTGCCAGGCTTTTAACCAGAACAAAGAAATATGACCACATTACTCCTATTTTAGCTTCATTACACTGGCTCCCAGTATGTTTTAGAATTGACTTTAAAATTCTATTGATCACTTTTAAAGCTCTTCATGGCCTCTCGCCTTGTTATATTTCTGACCTTTTAGTCCCATACGCACCAGCACGTACCTTGAGATCCTCGGGCAGAAGTCTGTTGTCTGTTCCAGAGTCTCGACTAAAAACTAAAGGGGACAGAGCGTTTGCTGTCAGGGCCCCGAGGCTCTGGAACAGCCTGCCCGAGGAAATCAGGTCGGCTGAGTCAGTGAACTCAACATACTTTTATAGGAGAGCCTTTCCCGATCTTATTTGACTTTATTTTATCCCTTTATTTTATTGTATTTTACTAATTTTATATTTATCTGTATTTTAGTCTTTTCAATGTTTTCATGCTTTTATCTTGTATTGTTTTTGTATTATTGTCTCTTGGGTATTATTGTCTTTACACTTGTTAAAGCACTTTGTAACTTGTTTTTGAAAAGTGCTCTACAAATAATTATTATTATTATTATTATTATTATTATTATTGTTTGAAAAACAAATGTGTCTGATGAAAGACGTACATTATTTGACATCTTAACATTTAAGTGTTTTTACAATACCAGCTATCAATCAGTGATGGATAAAAGTATCCATAGCTTCAATGCTAAAGTTGCCTCCTGCTAATTAGGCAGCTTGATGAGGTATGCTACTAAAGATATGCAACAGATGCTGAGGCAAAAAAAACCTTAGACCAAGGCCACTTCTCATCTTTTCAGCATTTCTGAGCAGTTTTCCTTTTTATTTGGAGCTTTGATCAAAGCTTTGATGCCGCACAGCCTCTGGGCGCAGAACCCAGCGGCAAGCGCAGAACGCCCTTTCAGAGATAACGCAAGTTACACCGTGCTCAGCGCACTCTGCACCTAAAGCTACCTTAGTGACGCACTGGGCTGTGTCTACCAATTTTCTCAAAGCAGCTAAAAGCCTTTGTGGCACGGCACGTGCCGTTGGAGCGCAGTGGTACTGTTGTTACCAGTGTTTTTCTACCTTAGATTCACAGCTAACCTTTTTCAAACCATGGTGCTGTATTTGAGAGACTGGATGTGTTCTTTTAACCGGACAGCCATCGATTTTCATACAGGAGACAGTTTGAAAATAAATTAGCCAACCTCTGGAACTTCCTTAACTTGTGTGGGCTATTCTATACATTTTTTTTGCATGTTGTGGTTTATGTTCAAATTGATTTTAAAGGTCTGCTCTGCTCCACCATGACATTATCATGTAACCCAGATCAAACAGTTATAATTCACTGTGATGAATGGTGCAACGTTACCAAGTTTCAGAGTCTGGTAATAGATTTTCCTACTGAAATGAATAAAAATGAATGTTACAGGTGTGAAAATAGACTCTCCATTTCAAACATTCGTGTCTTTTTGGGTGATAAATAAAGGTTTAAACAGCTTGGTGGGATCCCAGTTGAGTGTGTGGCTGGACACCTGTCCCTGGTGTCATGAGCTGATGTTAGTCAGCCTGCACAGTCTCTCTGCTCTGTCAGTCTGCAGCAGCAGGGCTCTTGAAGGCTGCAGCAGGACCCCCTTCTCGCAACCTTCTCACAGTCTCCCAGATCGGTAAGTCACTGCAAAACTTTTCATTACTTAGCAACAAGATCATTTTTTTAGAGGATTTCAGCAACACGTGACTTGTTTTTTATACTTGGTTTGTCTTATTTGAGGATGGAACAAGAAGAAAAAAATCCTTAAAATGAATTAAGGGACTTAGTTAGCCTTTCCACTTTACATTTAGCTATATCTTTTAAGCTCCTTTAGTGCTATAAATGCACAATGATAATATGTATATATATATATATATATAATATATGAATAAATGAAGCTGTGTGAGAATCATTGCTGTAGCCAAGATTTTAAAATACTGAAGTCATGTGTCCTGTGTGTGTGTTTCATGGAAAAGGTTACTTTTTGTCAGGTTTGGTTAGAAAAATTACAAACTAGACTCACAGTTACAGTACACCATTTCTTCAAAAGTTCCTAAATCTTCTTGTCAGTGTAAAAGTTACTGAAAAAAAACTGTGCTTTAAGGAAAGAAAGAAACCACCTTAAAGCAACGTCCAAATACATACTGTGTATTATATAAACATTATGTAAGAGTACATATGCTAAATAATGTTAAAATCTAACATACTGGAACTGAGGCCCTACGTTTTAAAAATTACTGCCAAAGCTGAAACTTGCCCTTAGCAACAGGTTGCTGAAACACCAAATATTCAACACAAAGTTGAAAGTCTGAGATGCAGCATACGCCCTAGTGAAGGAGACTAATACCAAAATACCAGTCCACAGCATTGTGCTAATGAAGTAGAGCCATGTCTTCTGAGTATTTTATATTCTAAATAATGAAGTAGGTAAAATGTCTAAGAAATGAGTTTCAGTTTATTTATTGTAGTTATTTATTTATGTATGTATGTATGAAGTCTATTTAAATCTACAACTTCAAACCATAGGTTTCCTCACAGAACATTAAGGTTAAAATAGCTCAGTTTGTCCACTTTTATCTTGTTTTGTAATCGCACGTTTGACGTTTTGAACGTCGGTATATGTCTGTTTTTTGCGATGATGGGGAGCTCTTTCTTTACAGGTCTGTCCTTCTTTGGAGAGTTTATTGTGCATTAATCGATAAATTCCTGGAGCATAAATATGACATTTTCTCAAATAAAGTTAATAGATGGTATTTTTCTGATGTTATTGACAACATTTGGTTGTATTATTTCAGTAAGATAAAATGCAGTCTATTTCATCTGGATATCTGTTTAAAGCATCTTCAAGTATTGCACAGGCGTATGTTTAAGAGACTGAAACACAGCTGATCCAATTTAATTCAAAAATCCTTTATTAATCCCACAATAGGAAAATTCCCTGCTGCAGCAGGGCAAAGTGCAAAATTACAAAATACACTCTAAAGATAAACAAAAGAATGAAAAAATAACAATCGAGATAATAAACAGCACCCCGTGACCCTGTGTGCAGGATAAGCGGTTGATGGATGGATGGATGGATGGATGGATAATAAATAGTAAATAGCTGGAAATACCATGTTGCACGGATTATCAGTCCTGGTGTGTGTGTTTTGTCCATGTAGTCTACTGGAAATAGGACTGATAGAGTAGAGAGTCTGACAGCAGCAAGAAGGAAAGATTTTTTGAGATCTCAGAATCTTAGAATTTTGAGATACTTTTTTTTTTATAATAATTTATTATTACCATAATGAACATTGATAAATGTCTTCAGTACACACATACAGTATGTGACATTAAATTTTAGTGGTCTTTGTTTCAGTGCAGGAAACCCTGACATCCGTTCTTTATGGATGTCTGAATTGTTTGGCATCACACTAGTGTATGTAACAAATCAGTAAAAGATTGATTTCTCTCTGAGCACTGTCATTTGACATTGTGTGCACTGCAGAGGATGATGGAGAAAGCCGGTCACATCAACATTGCAATGATAGAAGATATTGGCACCAACGGGATGGCCAGGTCAAAGGTCGTCACGGACGTGGATCAGAACAACGAGCTCTGTGGCTCCACCGTGAGCTTCCACAACATCCAGTACAAAGTGCAGCTGAAGAGCGGCTTCAAGAGGAAAACCAGTCCAAAGGAAATACTGGTCGACCTCAAGTCAGTTAGAAAAATTGGACACTTTCTATACCTGTTTGTCTGTCTTTCTCTTTGTCATCTGTCTATTTACTTATTGCTCACATACTAAAATGCTGTTACAAAATTAGAAATAACTTGTTTTACATATATCACCATTGTGTTTTGAACATATGTCAGTTGTAGTTTGCTTACTCATTAAGGGATAAGTAGAATATCTATTAAATTCAATAATTAAGTTGATGTATTTCAGATTGTTGCCTTACTTAACCGAACATACACTCGACACTGCTTCAGATGAATTACAAGCTTTTTTGTAGAAAATTAGACAAAAAAATTATAAATCTGGTGATATTTGGTTTGTCGACAACCAAACAGGATTTTTGGCTCAATATAAAGTTGCATTGCCATAATTCTTTCAGGTTCCTTAATTTGGGAGACCATGTTACAGTAAAAGTGCAGTGGGTCTTCATGTAAATCATGTAAAGGCTCATTGTGTCCTGATTAAAAGCAGGACAATACGAATAGACTCTTACCATTGTTTTCTTTCTGATAGTATTAAATACAGATGACATTTCCCATGGTAGAATTAATAATTTCACACAAGTTGTTGGGCCTTTTCCTACCTCAGAGTTAATTATATGATATTAAGCATGGTTTCTTGCATATAATCTCTCTGATGCACTAAAGAGCAGTCTGCCAGGGAAACGAATTAAACACAATCACGTGATCCATCGCCAGGCTTTTATCACTGACTCTTTCTGGTGCTTTGTCGAACTGTTCTGTTTGCAGTCAAAGGATGTGTTTTAAAAAAAACATCTACACCGTAGTATAGAGTTTGTGTGTGTGTGTGTGTGTGTGTGTGTGCGCAGCTTTCAAGAAATGTTTATATCTGTAACAACCTACTTCCCTGAGCATTATTTTAGTCAACATAAGGGCAGAAAATTTATTTAGATAAAGTGATTCAAGAGCTTCTAAATTTCATCACGTGTCCAAGAATCACGTTAATCCACTTTGTGTCACACTCCTCACATTTGTATTGTAAAGCTGATACAGTGAAGTGAAAAATCTTAGATTGTACACCTTAGGAATGAATGCAGACCATTTAAACATGTCCCCATCTGTGCCTTTAAATTAATTTAATCATGTTAAATTGGTTACAGAGAGTTGTGTGCTATTATCTTGCAGTGGGATCATGAGACCTGGCCTCAACGCTATTCTTGGACCTACTGGAAGTGGAAAATCTACGTCAGTTTCACACTGATCTCGAAGAAAAAATATCTTCAAAATAGCCACCTGCATTAGTTTTAGATATATTTAAGTATTGTTTGGTTATTTTTCTCAAAGATTCTTGGATATCCTGGCTGCAAGGAAGGATCCTTCAGGTCTCTCAGGAGAAGTCCTCATTGACAGAGCACCACAGCCTCCAAATTTCAAGTGCCTCTCTGGCTATGTGGTTCAGGTGCATTTGAATGTTTTTTTGGTCCCTCGGAGGGCAGTGGAAACAAGCTGTGAACTGACTCATCATGATCATTTAACTTGAAGTAATGTAGTATATATTATATTATAATATAATATGAATAACCTATTAGCAAACAGTTGCTTAATTACACACCCAGCAGACATGGAGCAACATTAGCTTTCATTTCGAGTTATTTTTGTGTCCACCTTAAAAAAGGAAGTCCGATTTTCACTCTCTTGTTTGGTTTCTACCAACTCCCAGGAGAAATATTTGGCTCTTCAGCTTCAGCTTCAGTGTTTCAATTCTCTACCGTGTTCACCAGCTAGTTGTTAACTGTGTCTCCCTGCAGTTTGGTGCTAAGCAGGTTGTGTACAGTGAGTTTTTAGAGCTTTTCACTGAAACATGCTGTGGCTAGAAAGAACGCTGATGAGAGCAGTGAAAATAAATATAAACAGGAAATTTGTGGCCAGTAAAGCCAAATTAATGAGCTGAAAGATGCTAAAAAAAATTCTGTAAAGTTGATGAGAACTGCAGAGTTGGGTGATTGATCCCTTGTTATTGTAAAAATATTGATTATAGCAACTTTACAGAGTTTGCTAGTTACTAAATTCTATTACATTAACCATTCTCTGCCTTCCAAAAAACACAGCCTAGCAGAATGAGAAAACTACAAAACAAATGATCTACCCGTCTCTGATCTTTGACCTCAAACTCTTGTCTACCTTCCTAGGACGACGTGGTCATGGGCACCCTGACTGTGAGGGAGAATCTGCGTTTTTCTGCAGCTCTGCGGCTGCCTAGCTGTGTGCCTCAGAGAGAGAAGGAGGTTCGAGTCAATCACCTCATTAAAGAACTGGGTCTCACCAAGGTGGCGGACTCCAAGGTAAAAATACACACAACATAAGACATGACATAATAACTTATCTAACCTAAGGGTTGGCCTCAAGCTTGAAGACATCAGGTGAGAGCCAGGGCAGATTGATTGATCCCTGTTGATCTTATGTGGGTGTCCTCAGGTGGGCACGCAGATGACCCGGGGAATCTCTGGAGGAGAGAGGAAGAGGACAAACATCGGTATGGAGCTGATCATTGATCCTCCAGTTCTTTTTCTGGATGAACCGACCACAGGACTGGACGCTAGCACTGCTAACTCTGTCCTGCTGTTGCTAAAAAGGTAATAAAGATTCTTCTCTGCCAGTCCTCTGATGGATTATATTCAGAGTTGAGTCTTCAGCTTTGTCACTGCCCCAAAGCTGAACCTGTACCCAATACTCTAGTTACTAAAAAGTAATGTAACACTAAAACAGTCTATTAGTATATGTGAATGTCACTTTATTACAGCATTAGCTGCATTTGGTTCCAGTCTACAGTGCTCATTGCAAAAACAGTTATTTGCCTTCTTACAGAGCAAAGGATTCTGGTTTCTGAGCAAAGGGTTGTTTAGAGCAAACTTTAGGCCTATTCTCTTTGACAGTTTTGATTAACCTTGATTTAGCACCTTTGGCAATGAAAATAGCTTTATTTCATTTAGCATAATTTATTATTTATTAAATAATGCAGCACTTGATATTTAATGCAATTGCATTAAAATACACATTAGTCTATTATTGGTGTATTGATCAAACAAAGTAACATGGAAGACATGGAACTGTTTAATAATGTATATTTTAAGTATGCCACACTGTGATATATTGTTAATAATTACCACCAAACTTATGTGCCACAGGATTTATTATACATTTTATTATAAGGAAATAGTCTTTAACGTTAAACCACATTGGCGTTCAAGTTCAAATTTATTTATATAGCACATCTAAAAACAACCCTAGTTGACCAAGGGCTTTCCAAATTCAGGATACACAACAAATATACACGACAAAGACAGTGGAAAATGTCAACAATGTCCAAACTCAACTTGGTTTGAAGGCCAATGAATAGCGGTGGGTCTTTAGCAAGGACCTGAGAATATCAGCAGTCTGAGTTCTTGTTTGAACAGGTAAAATATTCTAAAGATTATGATTATTATCAGCCAGTGAAAAAGCTCAGTCCCCTATATTTTTTTACCTGGATCTGGGGACATCGTGGAGCACCTGATTGGATGACCTCAGTGCTTTGACAGGAGTATGAACATGTAAAAGTGCCAGCCCATTTAAAATCTTGAAAACAAGCAATAAAACCTCATAATCAAATCAGACAGGAAGCCAGTGGAGCAAGGCTAAAACTGGAGTAATGTGCTCACGCTTTTTAGTTCCAGTTAGAAGTCGAGCTGCTGCATTCTGGACAAACTGCAACCGATGAAGAGATGACTGATCCACTCCAACATATAAAGAATTACAGTGGTCTAGCCGAGACGTTATAAATGCATGGCTTACTCTTTCAAAATCTTTGCTCGGCAGGTAGGGCTCGACTTCAGCCAAAACAGTCTCAGCTGGAAAAAAACTGGCTTTTACAACACAACTAATCTGTTTTTCAAATTTAAAAGCACTGTCAAAGATCACACCCAGATACTTGGTAAATGAATGACTATGCGATCCTAAAGTACCAATAGCATCTACACAAGCAGGACAACCAAACACAACAACCTCAGTCTTACTTTCATTAAGACAGAGAAACTTCTGATCCAGCCATATTTAAGATCTCTTAGGCAGTAAGGCAAGGCCTGAATTGAGGCTTTGTCATTGGATTTTACTGGCAAATAGATTTGTATACCCTCCACAAAGTAATGAAAGGAAATATTGTGTTTTTTGAAAATGGACCCCAATAGCAGCATGTCTACTGAAAAAAGCAATTTTGCAATCAAAAGGAAGCTTTTATTGTATTTGCTACACATTTTTACTTTTTTTACTCTTTTCAGAATGGCCAGTCATGGAAGAACCATAATTATGTCCATCCACCAACCACGATACTCCATCTACAGACTATTTGACACTCTGACTCTGCTGGTTAGTGGTAAAATGGTGTACCATGGACCAGCGCCAAACGCATTGGACTACTTCGCCAACATTGGTGACTATGACGAAACTTATTATCAACACAAGACACCATCTACCATCTTAAATAAATGTAGATGGTTGTGCAGCTTTATTCTATACGTCTGATGAAAAATCTGACAATAGAAAAAGCAACGTCTCGATAACGTGTTGAGATTAAACATAGATCATTGTGATCTGTGTTCCAGGTTATCCCTGTGAGCCCCACAACAACCCAGCTGACTTCTTTCTGGATGTTATCAATGGAGACTCCACCGCTACAACCATGACCAAAGTGCACGGGTCTGAAGGTGACAGCGTTCTATATCGCTCCATGAATACTATAAGATGATATCTTTTATTTGTACAAATTAAAATAAAAGTTAAAATATAGTGCCTTTAACCCCTCATCCTAACTTCATCCTTGTCTAATGTCCTTGAACTTAACATTTCTAAGGATATTATTAAAAATAAGTTGTTGTTGTGCTCTAATTTTACTTGTTGCAAAAATAATCAGTGCTTTTACTTTTGTGGTTATTGACTTAGGACAGACTTTATTTACTAATTCAGTATTTTAAGCCTCTTCATAATATTTGATCATTGTTTTAATATCAAGTCAAGACAAGTTTATTTGTATAGCGCCTTTCAAGATGGTAATTAAAAGTGCTTTACATAAGACTTAAAATGCATTAAGACAAGATATAATGGAAATGCAAGGCAATATTAAAAGACATAAGTTACATTTTAAAAAATTGATTAAACTGAACAGTAAAAAATTCAGTTCAAAGCACCAATTGATTTCTATTGTTGTAGAGTATTTCCAATAGTTAAATCTGTCATTGTCCTCGTGGGTGCTCGGCCAGATTTGGACTTTGAGGAGCACAGCAGCTCCAGGCAGAGCATCGAGGAGCGCCTGGTGGAGGAGTACAGGAACAGCAGCTACTCCAGCGACACAAGTGCTGAGCTGGACCGCATCGTCCAGGATAAGAAGTGTATCTCATTTTCAAAATCCCGCACCATCACCTACAACAGCTCCTTCTTCCACCAGCTACGTTGGGTGCTAAAGAGAACCTTCCAGAACCTCATGCTGAACCCACAAACATCTGTGGCCCAGGTAACACATCCCCATTAATCACTAAAATACAAAACTTATCATGAACTCAAAGCCATCTGTTGTTGTAAATACAATGGTTGACTGGACATATTACAAACAAATAACATAGAACAAGTAGAGTGCCTCCTTAAGTAATTGAGTCTTCACTTCTCCTACTTGTTGAATTGTTGTACATTAATTAAAGCTTGCTGTTTTCAGTGTTTGTCGCCACAGATTACAGAGCGGTTTTTAAATCTTTTGGATCATGACATTTTAGAAAGAAAAATGAAAAGAGATTTCAGAGACTCTCTTACGAGTTACATAAACACTACTTGTTTGTGTATTGGGTAATTAATTTTAAAGTAAAAATCTATTTTACATATTCTGAATTTGGACGTTTTTTAAAAATGTATTCTGGTGGCAGGAGCTGGAAGTGTTTAAACAATGGCATCCTCGTTACGATTTTAACAATTCCTGCATGTTTGGCAGTGCTCTAAAAAGCAAAAACTTTGCACAGCACAGGATTCTTTAACAGCTTTTTGCCCTCGTGTCTCTAGTCAAGCCGGGAATTCAAACAGTCAAGTCTCAAGTAAGTCAAGCATGTCCTCATTTTCACAACTTTAATGCAGCTCATGTCTACGGTTCTGACAGAGGTTGAATCCACTATCATCTTAACTTTGTTCAAACACTCCGAAGTGCGGTAAAATAAGTGCTGTTGTTGTCATGAACAGGATGCATAGACAGCACTTTGGAGGTCAAGACTTAATGCTCTCATTAGTCAACCCATGGCGGCAAAATGCTGTCAGAAGTCTCCTCACTTTAAGAAGTATTAACAGCTAATTGGCCCTAAATAAGTCAAAATAATCCTACAAGAGAGGCTCTAGGTGGCATGGGCGCAATAATCGGCTTTGGTGACTGTTGTGACGCCTCTCTTGCCTCTTTGGGCTGGGATCTGAAGTGATATCATATCTGGCCAAAGCCCCTTGGCCCTGGTCTGGGACTCATCACATGATGGCATCATGACCTCTCACTCCACTTCCACCCGGCTTTCACATGAGGGGCTGTGGGGAATGAGGTGAAAGAAGCTCAACCGTATTAGCTTATCCCTTCACCCTGGGAACCGCTTAGACCTGTCATAATCTGTAAATTGTTAGGATTAAAACTTGTGTCACTTTCACTTCTCTCAGTCTTTTCTGTTATCATTACCTCACCCGCAAGTCCTTTTTGTTCGCTCAGATAGGCCGGTCTGGAGGAGGACCAGGGCATCCACTTGACTCCTGATCCCCACAAACACTGGCTTTTTTTTGTCAAGAAGGACACTGCTTGAGTTTAATTTCCATTCTTCAAAAATAATTCATGAAGGTCTACAATTATAACACTGATATTGAATTACTGATCGCTCAGAGTTAAACCTTCTTACGCCATAAAGAAAAAAACATAAGAAGAAAAGTGTCTAAACCTAACCAAACTGTGACCGTTTCAGAAAGCCTTTGGTTAAGTTCAGGATAAGATCACGGTTTTTGTCAAAACAACAAGTCAGTATTAACTCTTAGGGTCACACAGGAACCAAACCCCAATCTCCCAGGTGAAAGTCGTCCACCAAACTTGCTCCCTTCATGGACTCTTTATACTATGTCACCGAACTCTCTAAAGCCTATTTTGGTCAGAAAGTTTTAAGAAAGCATTTCTAGTTGCAAATTAATTTATCCAGATCACTACAACAACTGAACGGTATTTTTCTTAATAACACGATCAAGTTATTCCTCTGACTCAAGATAACCTCATCTATGTTGATCTTGAATGTGACAGCTGGCGCAAGTGGTGCTGCCTCATGCGGTGTTGGAATAATCAAAAAAAAATTGTTTCCGATAAGAAAGCAGTATTTCAGTGGAAACTGCTATCAATGTGTTGTTTAAACGCTCTGAGCAATTAAATACAACATATCTTCTTTGTCTTCACACATTATGACTTAAAAGCTCATGAATCCAACTAATTATATATGATGAAAACATGTTAATGCAAGCCCACCCAGAAGCCATAGAGATTACATTGCAGTGCCTGCAATTTGAATAAAAAAATAGTCCTAACATGCAAGTCAAGTCAGAGCAATCTGGACGATTTTTAACCAGACCAAAATTTGCCCGAAACATTCTGTACTCCACCGAGTGCTGCCTCTGATTAGACTATGATATTCAGAGGCAGGACAAACTGTCTTGAAATGTGTATAATATAATATAAAAGTATTTTTAATTGCATAGTAATGACACAAAAGTAAATCCATAATCATGCAACACTTAAAAAAGAACATTCAAACAGGATGCAATCCAAAAACTCACTCCTTTGTTTCATATTCATCTTGCAAATGTTCTTTACAAAGTATTCTATGATGACTTTAACGAAGGCCTCAAGCTCAAACAATACATTTGTTCTACATTGTTAAAGTTCTGACCCTGTATGGGCTAATACATGCTGCTTTTACAAACAGGACTTTCTACTGTCTCTAAATGTTTTTTTCTGTGCAGCTCGGAGTCAACATTTTCCTCGCCCTCATCGTAGGAGCGATTTTCTTCGGGGTCAAAGATGATCGGAGTGGAATCCAGAACAGGTGAGAGAACTGTATTTAAAAGCAGCTAGCAGGGGACCCATGCTAATATATTTACCGTACACCAAGGGCTGTAGTGACCATTGATGAGAACAAGGTCATGTCCTTATTTTTTCTGGGAATTTGTGTTTTTTAGCAACCAATGTAATTGTTCTACATTGAAAAACTAACATTGTAGAAATTTTATAGGCTGATTCTGGCATTTTTTACTAAAAGATTGCTACTTATTTGCTTAAATTTGACTTTTGTCACGTAAAAGAATAAATAATGGATGGATTATTTACCTACTAGACATGTATTACTGGTAGTCTGGAAAAGGCTTTGAAACAGCACGCAGGCCTCTGATATTAAAATTGAACAAATAAATGTTTTTTTTATTTTTTACCTCCCTGTTTATACATAATACATTATATAATAACTAACCGCAAAAAACAAATGGAGTCCCTCTAACTCCCAGGTAGCAAAAACAATAGTAAATACCCACTGGTCCACGAAAATTGTATTTATTTCATTTTTTTTCACTGCAACTGGGTTCTGGGTCTTTGTACCTTCAACAGCATGTTTATTATTTAAAGTTATTGCATAATTTTGTAATATGTCTTAATGTTCACACAGAAATAAGATGTGCATTATTTGTGTTAATCTAGATTATAGGGCTACGTAGTACGGGCATATTGATTTTTGCAACATGATTCTTAATGATTGTTCAGATTTTTTAAGTTAGTCACTGCTTTTAATGAAGAAGCGTGAAAAGTAGAGCAATTCCTACATTGCTAATCCTCTTACCATATTTTATCGGGTACAACCTGGTACTCATGGTTGAGTAGAATATAAGGACCTAATGTCATTATACTCCTGGTCAGTGCATTAGCAGTATGGCAAACACCAATGTACGTGGCTTAAAAAAGTTATTCACCCCTCCCTCCTTTTGACTGGGTTTGGGGCCCTTCTGGAGTCAGTCACCTTTTAGGCTTTCTGTATGTGGACCATACCGCATATACACACACATACCACTATAATTTGTGTGGTGTTAAATGCCCTTCTTTTGTTTGTTTGGGTTGAAATTAGGGCGTTACAGTAGCAAAAATACAACACCAGTTATTGATTCACTTCATTTCTTTTCTTTTGTTTCCTTTGTCATTTTCTCTGTCTTACTGCAGAGGACTGGTTCTCATTTTAACATGTGATGTGTGTGTGTGCTCTCTCTCATGTACAGCTACAGTGTATGTGGAATATGAGATTCATACATTTCTATAAAAGAGTTAATGATCAGATTTTGTTTCTTCTTGCAGGATGGGTGGCCTCTTTTTTATCACTACCAACCAGTGTTTCAGCACGGTGTCTGCAGCTGAGCTCTTCATCATTGAGAGGAAACTGTTTGTGTATGTAACATGTTGCACAGAACAAGCTAGAGGATATAACTATGACATCTGAAATGGATAACTCAACATAAATTAGGAACAAATGGGTAGAGCTTGATTTCCTCTTGGGTTTTCTTGTGACAGGCATGAGTACATCAGTGGCTACTACAGACTGTCTGTCTACTTCCTCTCCAAGATCCTGTCTGACATCACAATGCGCACCATCACCTCAGTCATCTTCAGCTGTATTGTCTACTTTATGATCGGTAAGACTAATGAATCCATAAACAAATTCATATGTGGAAGGTTTCAACCCATGAACACTTGATCAAATACTAAATTTAAGATTGCAGATTGCTCATTATTTTGTCTGTGTCCACTCCAGTGTGTGGAAGAAGTATACAGATCCTTTACTTAAGAATATATTATATTAGCAATAGCACAGTGTAGAAATACTCGTGTAAAAGTAAAAGTTAATCACTACACATAAATATTTAATATATTTAAAGAACCAAAAGTACTCATCCTGCAGAATGCCCCATTTCAGAATAATATATATTATTGGATTATAATCATTGATCCATTAATATATATACTCACATATATATACTGTATATTAATGTTACAGCTGGTAAAGGCGGGGCTCATTCTACTTTATAAACTGTGATGTAGCATAGTGATTTATTTTGATGATTTTATTTGTTGATAATATTGTGTTTAATCTGAATCTGCAAAGTAGTATAAAAAATTTCAATATTTCCCTTTGAAATGTAGTGGAGTAGAAGGATAAAGATGCAAATAAAGTACTCAGTACATGAGTACATGTACTTAGTTACTTACTTTGCACCACTGGTCCTCTCAGGGCTCAAATCCACAGCAGCAGCCTTTTTCATCTTCACACTGACAGTGACTATGGTGGCCTACACCGCCACAGCCCTGACGATGGCCATCTCCGCTGACCAGAGCGTCGTGGCTCTCGCCAACATTTTCATGACCATCACCTTTGTCTTCATGATGGTGAGAGTTCTTTATTGATTGTAAATATAAAAGTGGCGCCTCCAACGAGAGGTGCCCCAGCTATAGATACCATCAAAAGGATGAAAACATAAGCCAGACGGCTTATTTCCATTGTGGTCCTTTTTTGGAAGGCAAATGGGTAGGAGCATCATGAAAAGGCAACCAGTTAGTTATTAGCAGCTTCCAAGTAATAATAATAATAATAATATCTTTATTTGTAAAGCACTTTTCAAAAACAAGTTACAAAGTGCTTTAACAAGTGTAAAGACAATAATACCCAAAAAACAATAATACAGTTGTGTGTTGTGTTGGTAGATTTTCTCAGGTCTCTTGGTAAACCTACCCAGCATCATGGACTGGCTGGCTTGGCTGAAGTACTTCAGCATTCCACGCTACGGCCTCGCAGTAAGTCAAGATTAAAGAAATAATTTCAGTTAAAGTCATAATAAGAACTTTATATTTATAGTTCTTAAGAAAGGTACTTGCACACTGAATTGATGCTACCAAAATTTATTTATTTAATACAGCTTTGACATTTCTATATTATGACTTAATTAGGTATACTCAGCATTTGACCAAAAAGGGTCATATATGTATACTGTATACACATCATCACCTGATTAAGCATATTATCACATTAATTTATATTAGAGCTCTGTTGATATTGGATTGTTGTGGCCTTCACCAATATGATAATGAAATAAAATTTAACAAAAATATGTTTGTTGATATTTATATATCTTACTCAATCTTAACATAAACACATAATGTACACAAACATTTTTGATAAAGATCTTCTATACTGATGTGTCAAAGTTTATTCTTGATCCTAGTAGTTATTTGACAAACAATGATCAATGAATCAATGTCTACTTACTAGACCTTACATTTTTTACTGTCAGACTCCTCTGGTCACCAAACTGTAATGGCAACACTGTTTATAAATGACTTCAAACAAATCTTTGTCATTTTTAGACTTGATTGTGATTGTGTTGGCACTTTTCTCTTGATTTTTTTGTCTTCTAGCAACTTGATAAAATATTTGAATGTTCTAAAATACTTAATACTGCCTAATGCTTAAATACAGCAGTGTAATCCCTCTCATGTAGGACACTACCATAGACTGTATATAAGAAGTGGACATAGTCATCGTGACGTCACCCGTTGGTTTGTGGACTGCCGTTTTTAAGTTTGGCCGATAGGGCACCGCCATGCTAAGTTTTTGCAACCAGCGGCACCGGACGTGACCATATTTGGACGAGACGGTCGAGCTAACGACCGTGTGTGGAGCTAGCTAGCTTGCTTAGCTAGGTTCATCTGTAATTCACCTTAACTTAAATTTTAACAGGGCTGACAATTTTGTCTAGCGAATAACAGTCTTAAAGCTAAATGTACTCACCAGAGAAAGTGAACAGCCAACTCCTAATAAGCTTTTTCAACGGCGCTGGTTAAATTTACACAGTGCCGTAGGTACGCGTCACTCTAGCCTGACTGACAGGTCATCTTGGTGACGACTTGTCAATCACAGATAATCCCGACCTGAAGCATACTCTGCTTTAAGGCCTTTTCACACGGGAAGCGATTTACGTGCCTCGTAATTCATTGTCAATGAGAGGCGAGCGTGTAGGAAGGGAGGCGCGGGTATTGCAACAGGCGTAGCGCAGGTGGAGTGTCGCTTCCCATGTGAAAAGACCTTTATGGTCTATTTTCCTCTAAATGGGACCATAGTTTACTAAATGAACATCATGTGGTATTGAAGAAGACAAGAAACTAGCGATTGAGACCATAAACTCATTAGGAAAGTGTTTACTGAGGTAATAAATCAGGCGAGAAATCGGGTAATTTTACCATTGTTTGTAATGCACCGGACATCTTTTTACAACCAGAAGAGTCGAACCCCTGCTGGCCGTTCTATAGAATGACTTCCGCATTGGATTCACGTCTCAGACCAGAAGCTTTCCGCTTGGGCACTTCACACTACAAACACACGTGTTGTTGGTTGTATGGTCAAAATGTTGTCATCGCATGTTTCTAAGACAATTTTGGCTCTTAAAAGACTGTGAACACCTTCCTTACAGAGTTAATTTGCAGACCATATTCTTCCATTAATCACCACAGATAAGCAAGGTTCTAATGTACTATATTTCCTTTGACCTGCTCCGTATTCATTGACTATACTGTCAAACGTTATGTTCAGGCCTTGAAGATCAATGAGTTTGTGGGTTTGAAGTTCTGTGAGGAGGCTGTGATCCGAAACACCAACATGTCGGGCTACAGTGACCAACTGCTATGTGAGCATAGTTGGGGAGACGTGAGTAGACTGTATTTGCTCTGGCTGTGTCACACTGGTATGTACCACCTCTGTGGTCTGCTTCAAAGCAAATTATCTCATTTCTAGTCTAGCTAGTCCACCAGGCTTCATGTTAAAAGTTGACATCTTTAAGCGTAATTCCAGTTGACTTTACAAACATTTAGGAACTACAAAACAAATCATCTTAAATATTGATATTTAATTTGTAAGTGACCAGTTGGGACTTGTGTTGTTGCAGATGTACAGGAGAACAGTATCTGGACTACCTGGGAATAGAATACACTACCTGGGGACTATGGGAGAATCACGTGGCTTTGACCATTATGACGTTCATATTCCTCATCATCGCCTACCTGAAACTCCGCTACATCAAGAAATTCACTTAAGTGTTTTATTCTACTATCTTAAGTTTGGTCTACAAAGAACCAAGACATTTTAAGTAGTGAGCTAAAGGGTGTATTTTTGAACTTTGAATAGAGCCAGGCTAGCTGTTCCCCCTTGCTTCCAGTGGTTATGCTAAGCTAAGCTAGCTTTAATTGCTTTCTGTCTAAAGCTCTAGATTAAAACTTGCATTTATTGTTTTTTTTTTAGCACAGCTGTTTGGTGCTGAGCAGGCAGCTTATGGTTAGTTTGTAGAGCTTTTTCTCTGAAAACAGCTGCCAGCTGTGTCCAAAAATACGGTGAGCATCAACCAAAACCGTAAGGTTGTGTGACATAAAACCAAAACATTGAGTTTATGGTAATTTGATTTATTGTTAATATTAAAATATTCATTAGAGCAGCTTTAATGTAAAGATATGAGAGTATCAATCTTCTTATCTAAGTAAACCAGCAATTTTTTTCCCCCAAAATGTCAAACTATTTCTTTGAGTGTGCCTACAGTTTGCACTTACATGCATGGATAATCTGTAGGCCTACAGGTAAAACACATACCAGAATGTAAACATCAGTTTTATCTTTAGCGAAAACCAAAATCTTTACTTTTCACGAAGTAACATGACAATGTACTTTGTTTTTTACATTGTTGGAGTGGTGTTAAAAACTATGGCTTTACAGTTGCCTACTTCTGTAAGTTAAGTAATCTTGATCATTCAGTTTTTGCACTATAATTGAATTAAATTGTTCTTGATTTGAACTCAGCACTGATTATTCTCAATTATAGATATTGTAGAATTATATCACATAGTTTGTGTTCACTTTTTTCATTGTTCTTTTGCATTTATCTTCTGATACAGCTTTATGATAACATTTATAAACATTTTCATGGAACCTTGGTCTTAGTGTTTTTTCATTGCAGTCTTCCATTTGATAATGTTTTGATGTTGACCTACATAATCATAATTCTCTTGAGATGAATATCAGTGTTTAAGTGCGTGTTTAATGATCACATTTAAAATAATAATAACTTTATTTTATAGAGCGCCTTTAAAAGCAGCTTCTCAAAGCGCTGTACATAAAATCACAATCCACAGGAAAATACAACAAATAAAAGTTAATAAAAACAACAACATTAATAATAAAAATAACTATAAAACAATTTGCAATTTGTTAATTGTGGTTTTAGGAACTCCGGCTAAAACGGCGTTACAGTAATCCAGCCGTGTGAAAACAAATGAATTAATCAGCTTTTCAGCGACAGATAAATTTAGCATTGGGCGTAGTCTGGCTATATTTCTGAGGTGGAAAAAGGATGCCTTCATAGTGCTCTGAACAAAAAAATCAAAGGTGAGGCTGGTGTCAAAAGTTACACCAATGTTCCTCATCTTACTTTGGGTCTCTAGAACAGAGCCATCAACAAACAGGGACAGTAGAGCCGCTTTGCGAATTTGATGACGGGAACCTATAAGCATAACCTCAGTTTTCCCGCTGTTCAGGCAAATAAAGTTATTGCTCATCCATGCTTTTATCTCAGAAATACAACCAGAAAGATAACAAGCATCAATGTCTTCACCAGATTTAGAGTGAATGTAGATTTGGGTATCGTCAACATAAAAGTGATAATGGAGGCCAAGCGATTGCAGCAGATGCCCAAGTGGAGATAGATAAATATTGAAGAGTAGAGGGCCTAGAACTGATCCCTGAGGAACACCAGTGAGCACCGAGCAAGTGTCAGACCTAAAGCCACACATAGAAATAAAATGGGAACAGTCAGTAAAATAGGATTTAAACCACTTTAAAACTGTCCCGGACACACCAAAAACACTTTCAAGATGGGTAAGTAAGAGACCATGATCCACAGTATCGAAGGCGGCTCTAAGGTTAAGAAGAATAAGAAGTGAGGTAGCTCCAGAATCAGAGGCCATCAATAAGTCATTGGTAACTTTGACCAATGCCGTTTCAGTGCTGTGAAATTTATGAAAACCTGACTGAAGGGGTTCAAAGAGGTTACTGGTTGTAAGATGATTACAGAGTTGAGAGGCAACAACATGCTCAAGTATGTTTACCAAAAAGGGAAGATTAGAGATGGGATGAAAGTTGTTAAAATCATCCACAGAAACATTCTCTTTCTTTGGTACAGGCGTAACAGCAGCAGTCTTTAGTACTGCTGGAATGACCCCAGTATCCAGTGATTCATTTATAATGCTGAGGATAGTAGGGCACCACACAGCGAAGCACGATTTAAAATAGAATAGTAGGAATTGGATCCAGCAAGCAAGTGGTTGATTTCATGCTAGATACCTCCCTTGTGAGAGCCTCAGAATCAAGCAGTGAGAAATGACTGAAATAAACACCAGTGAACCCAGATGAAGGAGTGAAGTGGCACAGTCAGGGTTAACAGCAATGTCTTTGCGAACATTGACAATCTTTGAATTAAAAAACTGTAGAAAAGAATCACAGAGCTGCTGAGAAACAGGCATGGTGGAAACAGGATTAACTTGAAGCAGTCTGTTTATGGTTTGGAACAAGTGTCTGGGATTATTTTTATTATTTACAATAGCCTGAGATAAGTAAGAGGATCTTTCAGTCTCCATTAGAGCACGATAACCCCCCTCACTCTTGGTAGTAGACACTCAGTCCAGTAAAGTGCCATTTGCGCTCCATTTTCCGACAAGCAGCCTTTCTAGAAAGCAGATTGTCATTGTACCATGGAGCGGAGCGGGCGAATGTGACCTAAACGTGACCTTAGAGGAGCAAAAGCGTCAAGATTAGCAGCAAGAGTGGAGTTTAGCTGCGTAACTTTCTCCTCCAGTGATGATGGATGAAGATTGCTTAGGATGGAAACCACAGAATTGCAGAAAGCAGTCTGATCGATAGACTTCCACTTCCGGAAGGTTACTGTTCGGATGGTAGGCTCACTTGAATGATACAGTTCGAGTTTAAAAAAGACAGCTGAATGATTAGACAGTCCAATGTCATTAGATGAAAACTGCGATACAAATGAGCTGTTAGCAATCACAAGATCCAGCGAAGGACCCTTGTTATGGGTCGGGTCAGTTACAAACTGTGTGAAGCTAAAACAATCAATTAGCAACAGAGATTCCTTAGCCGCCACTGAGTCACTCCGGTCCACATGAATGTTGAAGTCTCCCACAATTAGAATTCAGGAGCGGAGTTACTCAAGACCAAGCACTCAATTGATGGAAACTGGGGAACAGTCACAGAGCTTGTGTTCAACTTCAGGTTGTAAACCACAATAATGCCTCCACCTCTGCCAGATAGCCTCGGGAGATCTAACACTCCAAATCCCACTGGAGTGATCTGGTTAAACAGGAGCCCATCATTTTCTTTGCGCCAGGTTTCAGTTAAGAAGTCCAGCTTTTTATCTGTAAGAAAATCCGATAAAAGCAGCGCTTTTTGTTCACAATTGAATAAAGCGGCGTAAGCCTGGCTCTGAAGCGGAGACGACAGAGGTTTAATCTCCCTGCGGGGAACCGATATTAAATTACTGTCACGATCCTGTCCTGAGCGTGTCTGGGTTTCAGTCCTGTCTGTGTGTCTTGTTGCGGAGTCTGGGTTTTTGTTCCATGTCTGTGTTCCTAGTCCTGTGTTTTAGTTCTTGTCGTAGTATTTGATTCTAGTTCTTTCTCTGCATCTTTTGGGTTTAGTCTGCTGGGTACTCTGTGTTCTCATTTCTCTGTTATGATCCCTGTGTTATAGTTGGTTAGGTGTCATTTATGTTCTCTGCCAGTTTCAGTAATCTGATTTTGTTCATTCAGCTCTAGTCTCTGTTTAGCCTTTATTATTCACCCACATCTTATTTAGTATCTGTCTTGCCTCGTATCTTAGTCCTGTACCTTAGTTTATGTGTTAAGTGTTCACTCCCGGTATTTGTACTTCTTTGTTTTGCCTATGTCTATCTGAGTTCTGTTTTATCATTGCTTCAGTCTGTGTTCCTTGTTGTTCATGAATGGTGTTTTGCATCTGCGTCTCTCTGTTCCCCCCTGCTGTCTCTCTGCCTGCCTGCGTGTCTGTTTTTCCATGCTGTCTCCCTGCCTCGTTAACCCTGATCCCAGTCACCTGTGTTGCTCCCGCCCTGCTCGTTAGTCCTTGTGTATAAATGTCTGGTGTTTCTGTTCATTCCCTGTCCGGTCATTGTCGCATGTATGCCCTGTTGTATGAAGTTGCTGCTCTTGGATGTTACCAGTTTCCTGTACCCGGGAGTTCTGTTTGTCATGCTTGGGATTAATAAACCCTGGAACTCAATCTCAGCTCACAGTGTCATGCGTTTGGGCTCTCCCCTGCTTTGCGCACCCAGCGATCCTGACAATTACTGTGAACAACACCAGTATGGAGCAGTTTGTTGGTCTTATGTCGACAGGTAGGGACATAGATGTTAGGAGAGGGTGAGACAGCAAGACTGCGCCGCAAACCCCGATGGATATATCGCTTAGGACGTAGCAGTCCAGCATCTTGACAGAGATTTATAGTCTAGGCAATAGCAGTTCTGTTTTAAATTCAAAAGCTGGTGTGTAGTGTACCTTAGTGCCATGGTCGGTAGTGCACACTCGCAAGGCCAGAGCGAATGAAACTCCATAGTGCACTGGGAGCACAAAGTCGTACAATCCACACAGACAGCCGAACCGAGGCGTTGATCCGGAGTTACACGCTGCAGGTTATTCCAGGTGGAGCACAGACCTACGATCCAAAATATATAAAATGATACCAACACATCGCAATTGTTACAGCACTAAAGACAAGACTAAAGACTTAATAAATAAATTAATATGGCTTAAAATAACAAGCGAAAACAAACCAAACGGTAACCGGAAAAGAATACTTGAAAATGCTTTATTTTACAGGTCTGTAGTTTTTTTCAGAAATAACTAATTTGGTAGTATTACAGTGTTAATTAGTACACTTCAAATCAGTTTATTCAAATGAATGGTTACAATAATGAATTAATAACACATTTATTGACTTGGGTTTAAATAAAGCTTTTCTTTCAAGGACATTTCTCTGGAAATTAAACTCAACTAATCAAAAACTCAATATAGCTAAATACAACAACTGAAATAACAAACC